CTGTTATGTATAACCACTTGCTCTGTCTCCGAAACTTCATTCCTTATGGTTTGTTCCTGCCATTTTTATTTTGGCACAGTCAAAGAAATTCCATTGTCCATACTTACATATTTTATTGTTCCCAGTTTCCTGTCTTGTCAATAAGTGATACACCTTCCCTGGATATAAGTCTTGTAATTCCAATTTGTATGCTATAGCAGTAAGCTCTGGAACTCTCATAACAGTTTTTATGTTGCATCTGTTTCAGGCTGATTACCAGCATTTAGTTCAAGGACTACTGGACTCACAGCAGGACCAGTTAGTAGCTGAGAGACTTGCCAAAGCTTTCACTGAACTTACATCAAACATCACACTGAACACAGAACGACAGAACAGGATTAAATTCCGTGACAACTTTGAGAAGTTTATTGTCAATGTTCACGGCTTTCTGCTCGTCAAGTAGTCCCATCACAAATGTAGTATTGAAGTATTTTGTATATTTTATACCTTTTTTCCTTGTGTGCTGTGTTGTTATTGTAGGCCTTCTTCTTCCATTACATTTCTGCTACATAACATTTTCATCAGTTTTCATTTTCATTTAAATGTTGATTTTTACTCTTTGTACTTTGAAGGTTTACAAAATGAATAATATGTAATTTACAAATTATGTTTTATTCCATATTGCGTTTCAGAACAATTTTTGCGAATTCTCCTGTATTGATGTATGTATGTGGCAGAGTATTCTCAAACAGCATGCTGACAATATAAAGATGTGACTGATGATTAGGAAGACAGAAATGAAGATGTCATTCTGAGTGGAATTTATTTTAGAATCTGTCATGTGTATACTGTATGAACCTAACCTGAATATATTCAGAGAGTTACTACATGGAGGTAAGTAGTCAACCTCATGTTGTGGCTTCTTTCTTACCAGAAAAAGTCCCTTATAACCACAGAATACAAGACTAAGTGGATAGAGCAGGTTAGTATAGCCATAACACTATATTTGTATTTTTAAGGTATGTGCTTCAAATCTTGGCAAGACTTCTGGATCCCATTTCTCCACACAAATGCCAGGTTAGTACCTGTCTTGTTTCAAATCCATTTGTAGCATTCATGATTATCAGCCCATCTCACTCACGTTCCATCATAGAGCTTAAGATACAAACAGTATGTTCCTCTGAAATGTTGGTACCCACCTACAAGTCCACATGGCATCACAATCTAGAAGATCCACACCCCAGACTGGCTACCCTGATTCATTTGTTATAGTTCAATTAAAATATACAGCTTTGCCAGGCTTTATATAAGCATTACACTTTGCAACCCTGGATTGACCTCAGTGAAGCAAAGAATTACGTGTGATGGAGTACTGTCGCTGGTTTCTAGTGAGCATACTGAACCACTACAATGAGACCTGCTAAAAGTATGTGACATCAGATACTTCTTAACATTATGGATCTGCTCCTGTTTATTCACATGACTGGTTGAAAAATTCTGGGGGAAATTAGACGGCCAATTCAGGTGACATGAATTATGCTGGGCATTGATGTGGGTTTGAAAAAACACTATACTTTCAGAGAGGGAAGCCTTTACCTTTAGGTGTAGGAAGAAACAAGAGTTTAGGGAAAATAATATGCATATACACAGTTTTGTGTGTGCATATATAGGAATTCTGAATTCCATGGATTCTATTTATAAACAAGACTGCCAAAGTTTCTTATCAGGTATTTCTACACACACATGCCTTTTCGTAGATACACCTTGAGATCAGGCCCAAGAATGATTGCCAAAACAATACACGATTCTTCAAATGCACTACCATTTCCTCAGTCTGTAATTCCTGTATTTCTAGCCAGACATTATTGTGTATACAAATGGCAGAAATGTATGAGGCTATATGCTTACAAACACACATTTTTTTCCCCACAATCTCTCATCCATGAAGTCTGTTTATAGTCATGATTTCCAAACCAGTACAATTATTTATAGTCACTCCTGTTTCCTTGGACTGTTCCTAGTGAGTATATATGTGTGATTCTTCCCATACTTTCAGCAATGAATTTTGACTAGTCACAATACATGATTCTTCAAAGAGAGAATTTCTTCAGACTGCTCCTAGTCAGGCATAAATATTTCTTACCAGACGTATATACACAAACGCATGTTTCATCCCAAACACCTCAACCCCGAAGTATATGAGGATAGAACGTATAAATTTCGAGTAGTGACCTATGGTATAACATCCATACCAAATTTCATTTATTAAATTCGTTTAGAACGAGTTGTGAAGTGGTTGGCTAGGTTTGTGATGCGAGTGTGAAGAGGATCGTGATTATAATATACCGGTGATTCCGAGAACTATCAAGTTCCTACTTATAGAGACTATAATTATGCAGGTTATCAGTGATACACACATTTCGGTACATGTTCATAACCTCCTACTCGGCTAGATTAATGTTATAATCTCCCATCACGATTATAAATAAAACGGTGATTTCAAAAACCAGTGTTTTGAAAAACAAGTTTATTGCTGAAATTCAACGCGTCATCGAGTTAAGAAAGAACTTCCGAAGTTAGCATTTTACTTGCATCGGCAATTGCTGTCAGTTACGTTACCGACCTCCAATATAATCCCAAGCACAGATAATACCATTACCATTGATGTCATCACCACTTGCCGCATGCATTTCTTGGCTCTCGTGATGCTGTGGAACACCTGTTATCCGGTTTACTATAATGGTGGAAGGTTGAAAGTGAGGTGGATATGGCAGTGAATTAAAAGTTAAAAGAAAACGAAATAACTGTCAATGGACGTAAAATAAGAAGAGGATGGGAATACGTTAATTACAGAGGAAAATGAATGGAAGCCCGCAAAGCAGGATATTCTTGCAGGTATGTAAGCCTGCCTCTTTGTGTTCGATACAGTGCTGGTAAAAGGACAGTTCACAAAATAACATGTTTGCACTTTTTCAGATGTGGCTTTATTCTTGTGTTATAAGGGACGGTAAGTCTAGAAAGTAGTTATGATCAAATGGGTTGCATTGGGGATAGCAGTTGTATGAGAAAGGGAATGTAACCTCTCAGCAAATGTTGGCAGAGAATAGTTCCTTTTCCCTTCACATTTATCGTATATGGTGATATATACTCTACCACCATTTCGATGGCACTGTGTATGATGCATTTCTGATAGAAGTTGGTACCAGACTGCTTGAAGGTGCCACTGGCTGTCCACTGTGATGTATAGTATCAGCGTGATGGGGGACAGGACCAATAGCAACTGAGCACAGTTTCCTGGTAGATGGATTGGATGTGGCAGTCCTGTATTGTTGCTGGTGAGATCACTGGACCTCATCCCTGTGGACTGCATAAATTGGAGACACCTGAAAGAATTTGTGTACAGGAATCAATGGTCTGGTATGGAGGACTTGGGAAAATTACATGCTGCAATGGCAATGATTGATTTAAATATTGTACATATGCAAGCTAGTATTCCATGATGTGTTAGTGCATGCATGGTGGACACTATACACTTAACTACTGCCCTCATTGTGTGCACCATGTACTGGACTTGGGCTGTCAGCATGTGATATGCATTACATGTTTTCCCCAGCCTATACTATAAGGTGGATTGTATGTACTTCATGTACAGTGTTATTGCCTTCAAATCAAATATATGAGTTCCACCTGCTTGTTTCTTTGTTGTCATTGAACCATTATCTGTCTACTTATGGCTGTCCTTGTACATTGTCACCATTTTCTGTGCTTCTACAGCTGGTCAGACTATTGTTCAACTTGAAGGTACTTTCTGGGTCTGTCTCAGTGGTGACAACTTCTAGGGGATTCAGTCCCTCTAAATTTTTGTTTTATAGTGTCCTACGTGTCCCTGTTGATTATGTCCCAGACATCATATTACGAAGGTCAGAATTGCTTTGTGCGGTAATGAGTCAGTGAATCCAGGGGAACATTCAAAATCATGAGGCAGTTCATACATTGTATATTCATCTGGCACGCATTACAAAAAATTTCTTCATATAACAAAAGTGTAATTACACAACAATAAGTTACAAAAATATATTATACAGTATTATACAGCAAAAGATGCAAATGAAAATGTACAGTAACAAAGAAAAATTGATGCTTAACCATAAGAAACAGAGTTATTTTGTACAACCATTTATACAGCAAATTAACATTGTCCATAAGAAATATTAAATCAAATAAGACATACTGGACACCCCTCTGCGCAGTTAGGTTCAATACATGTCTCCATCAGAAATACACTGAAGCATCAGGAGACTGAGAATAAAACAGTTCTTGCTTGAACAAATCAGAACTGGGAAGATAGGATTGATTTATGGTATTCCACCTGAACACTATATGGATACATTTCATACATGTGTAATTGCACTATCTTCCCTCCTCCTCATTTGAATCTATAGTAACTGATTATAACATGACTTGTTTAATTTTCCTGTTTACTACTATTTACTTTACCGTCAGCTTCTGGCACCACTGTGTCCAGATTGGCTCTCTAATCCAGACAGTCTTCTGTCTAACAGGTCCTGGGGGATATGCCTGAAGCTGACTACTACCTCTTTAGCTTTCAATGTGTAGAGATAATATGTAGGCTTTGCTTATACTTCCTTGCATGCATTATGGCTGACAGGATTGGTCAAAAGCATGGTCAAGATTTCTATTGACTAAATTACTTGTAACAAAACAAAATCTTGTATTTTAACTACTACAGTAGAGAAACTAATCCTTTGTTTCTTTCTTAAAATTACAATCTCATTTCACATCATGTAGCAGATTCCTGGTGTATTTTATTATAACAGGAGGGAAAAGGGTGAGAAATTGTATAAAGTTGTGATCACTAACATTTACAGAAGACCTCTACAAACTATCATTGCCTCCTTCACTTATTACAAAAATTATTATGGTCATATGTACATATAATAAAGCCAGAAAGTACTCACTGAAATTCTGTACTTAACTGCACCAACATTGAAAGTAGCATCAATGTAACCTTCGAGGAAATAAAAAATGGACGACCAGTGACAACAATTTCGGTGCATGATATTACTAACCCTAGTTCACAAGGTAAAAAATGTGGACATGTAATGAACATGTTGACACTGCAGTTAAAAGTTACCTATTATTAATGCCAAGAATATTGTACACATAAGGAACATGCAATATAACAGATACATAATCAACGGCTGGAATGTACAGGCATCCCACAGCTGCTTTACTGATATGCTTCAAACTCTGAGCCACATGAACCCAACTGTTTAACATGAAGAAGCATCTACAAATGCACACACATACACACACATATGGCACATCTACATGCAGATCAAAATTAAATGAATATAAAATAGATAAATACCAACTTTGCAACATACAATGTGATATAAAATACTGAAATCAAAACAATATGTATAACAAAAATAAAGTTCATCATCAAAATGAAAGTCTATAAATTAGGCCTACAGGATACACTGGCATGTTACTACAGATACCTACATGGACACACGGAGTGTTCGTTGCACTCATTCATTGTGCAGAAGAGTGGACTTATTCAGTACAACAAAATGAAATGTGCTTCCAGAGGATGGTTTCCACTCTGGTGGTGAGATGCTTATGGAATTCAAAACTCCAGCATCTGTCCCAACATAATACTGGATCAAATAAGCCCTTTCCATATCATTTAAGGAGTACTTTTTGGTCTTTCAATAAGTCAAATGCAGGGAGACATAGTATCACATACACTTGGAGCCAAGAAAATACTGACTGTATTCTTATGTTACACTGGAAATCATTATCCATTTAACTCTTTTACTGAGGAGCGTGCAGTAATGCAAGATGGATGTGACCTTATTACAAGTTCAAACTTCACAGACTTGCAGATCTTGCATTTACACAGCAGTCTTTTGCTGGGTGGTTAGGACATCTGTTCTTAATATATGAAAGCTTTTGCCTATATTAAACAAAATTCCATAGGATTTGAAGTTTTCACAGTGGTGAGTCTGAAGATTGCTGTCTTCTGGGTTTTTGAGCCATGTAGTCTGGTAGATGTAAACCTTCCCTTGGTGGACATCTACCAGACTACATGGCGCAACAACCCAGAAGACAGCAATCTTAAAAAAAATTCCATAAGATGTCACAGGTACATCTTTGTTTTTCAGGTTGTACCAACTTGTAGCCATGGCTTCTTTTCCATTATATATGTTGCTGAGGATTATATTAGTAAACTTATTTGCAGATTATGAACTTTAGAGTTCATGTTAACACAGAAAGTAGTCTAAAAAATTAAATTTAAAAAAACATTTCAAATACTTTTACACAACTAAGGTGTTTGTACTACCAAAAATTATGCAGCAAAAGAGCAAATTATTTCTTTGCAAGTACAGCAACCCTGCTAATGAAAACTGCCATCATCCAATCTCGATTATACTTACACGCTTATGTTCTATTGGATATAATTCATAATACATATCAAAAGATGACACAGTCCTTAAACTATTTGATTTTTGATATGTTCTGCTTTTTTTCTTGGGCACAAGATGTTTCTCCTCAAAACATTATTAATTTTTAAAAATGCATAGTATGTAGCCCTAGGCTCAGACTTAAAGTACTGTTTCAGAATGATTGTCCCATGGCATCAGCACCATCTCATTTCCAAGTGTGTAAATTTATGACCCGGTTTTCCTGTCCAACCCCTATCAGTAATATCACTTCCATCACTACTGTGCCTTCTTCCCACCCCTTGGCTTGATGGATTCCGATATCTGCCACATTGCCTCCTCACACAGGAACTCATCAAAGTTGTTGAAGAAGGCAATAATGCGCTCATGCTTCTTGAACGAGTATGTTCTGCAAGAGAAGCAAATGGTTAATTACAATACTAGTAAGTCTTCCTTCAGCAGCTAATAGTCATTCATCTGATTAACAAATCTCCTGTTGTTATGGATCCAAAGGTTCCATAATCACTGCCTAAAAATTCACCATTGAATTATCACCTTTAGTCACCTCAAATCAGTTCACATCTCACATCCTGTTTCTCTATGATCTATTTTAATATTATCTTACCATGAAGCCACTTCATGTTTCTTATGTCTGTCTACATATTCTTTTCAGAACTTAATTCTCAGATATCTTCAATCATTATTCCTTCTGAGAGACATCACAAAACTATAAGAAGAATAAGTTTTATGTGATTTAATAATGAACATTTATACATATTCTGAACTAAATAGCAGCATCCATTTCCCACACCTGCAAGTAAACTATCCCTTCCACCTGACCCCTTGTGCAGATTTGCATCCTGACACAGAGTAATGAGGTACTTGCCCTTTCTTGAACCTCTTCATGTTCTCAACAATGTTAAACTGCTGCCAGCGTTTCGAGAAGTTGATGGAGCCCTCTGGCAGCAGGTCATTGTTTCCAATGTGAACGAATGTAAGGTCTTGCAGCACCAGGCCTCTGAAACACATATGCTCATTGAAATTTTCTTCTTACAAGGATCAGGTGTACTGGTATATTCCAACAAGTTCTTTTGAGACAGTCTCTCAGACACAGTAGGAACCCTTTTGTGGTGGTTCAACACACTGCAGAGCTCTTAACTATGGATGGAACATTAGGTATTTATATCTTGGAAAGTTACAACATGATTCAATAATGGCCAATACAAGACACTCACATGTAAGGTATACAGGGGGGTTGTGTCTCTGCCAGTGCCTGTCTGTAGGCTCGGAAACTGGATGAGCTGTCGATGAGAGCGCAGTATTCCTTGAGCCCCTCTGTGATCTGCTTCTGCCACTCCAGACGCCGTATTGGGGCTGAATCAAGTGCGGAGAGTAATGCCAGATACGAGTTGAAGTTGTTAATTTTACGCAGATGTTTCATGATCTTAATGAACTTCACCACGTAGCGCTCCCGGTCCTTGGCTTCATTCTGCTCCAGAATCCTTGACCTTGCCCTGAAATGTACGACAGACGTCACGAACTACAGCAACAAAATGATTAACTGACTAATCCCAAGACACATCTTTCACAAGCAGATGCTGTTACAGACTAAAGCCCACTGGGAACTATATGTAATACTTGCTTTAACAATCTATAACTCTGCAAGAAAGCATGCCACTAGACCCTGTCCTGTTCATACAAGTTAAAATTCTCAGACCTTAGTGTTCACCTTGAAGTGAGATTTATATTTATATTAAAATAAATTAAATATTGGGAACATTATAGTATCTCATGTTTGGAAATTCATATTACAGAACATCTTATTTTGATTTATAGTATAGTGAATGAAATTAGTGTTTGCAATAACTGATATAATAAATTCTTTTCAGGCTACTGGCCTTGTAAGGTAGTTTAATAGAGAAAACACCGTTTCGAGAACCACCTTCAGTACCTTAAGGACAAGGCTTACATGGCTGGTGCCCTGAGAAGAATTCATTATACTTGGTCACTGTGAAAGCTTCATATCATAAATAACTGATATATTTCTTGTGTATATAATTTGTACTGCTGTTTATATATTTTGTTAAATAAATAAGGATCAGTGACTTATTCTTACTTTAATGAAGTTTAACAGTAATTTTAAGCTTCACTTTGCACCGCTATTTGAAGTTTTCCTCAATTGAATGTACAAAAAAGCTTGTCGTGTGAATATATATTAAATAGGGGTTTTATGTATTTTCCTCAGCACTTGTTCTCAATTTTTGTTTGCCCCTTATACTGAGAGACCTACAGATGTCTTTACCATGAAAGTATCTGATCTCAGATACGTAAAGTTATGGTTTACATGTTTTAATCTTCAGTCTTCTGGAAACGATAGCTGATACAATGAAAGTGGAAGAAAGTATTTGTGGCCTGTACACTTGGTTGGTCTTCTCACCAATAGGACATCTTGTTGAAATGCTCTGTGAAGCGCGTCAGGTTGGGACTACGCTCTTCATTTTGTTCCTGGGCCCAGATCAGAACCTCGGGAATCTCAATTTTCATGAAGAGTTCAGCATCCAACAGTGTCATCTGTTCGGCTATCTGTTCAGACTTGAAGTCCAGCAGTGAGGCTTGCCTGAACAGACAAAGATTTGTCATTTTATGACAGTTCTCGCAAATCACGAGTCACAAGACAAAACTATGTGACTGGTTACCGAGTGTAGATGTTAAGAGATGGTAGCAGCATGTTGGAAGCACTGTACAAGCTCTTGGTGTTGCATTTCTCTATTATCTTGACACGTAGAGCCTTGGCCATCGTGAGGTCTCCACTACAAAGCAGCTGGTACACAAAGTCCATCAGTGCCTGCAGCAGCATGTTGTCCAGGTCTGACATCCTGCACAACAACACATTTGGTAGTTAAAGCATGCTTTTCTACCATGTGCCAATTTCAATACTACTGACTTTGGTGGACTCCCACACATAAAGAGTGTGTTGTGTATCATGGCAAAGAGAGACTGAATATGCCAGAGAAATAAAACAAAAATGATGCAGTGACAGTGCCTCACCAACAGGTCAATTCTTCATAATGTCAGTCTATGCTAAGGATATAATTCACTATTTACAGCTGAATCCTCTTCTGGATTCTTGTAGGAAGAGAACTGTAATTCCAGGCCAACCCCAACTAAATTATAAACAGCTGCTAACTTTTCTGAATGACCCTGTAATACCTCTTAGGGTACCCAAATACATGTCACACGTACGTGAGGTCACTGACTACTCTGACTAGAAGGGAGAAAGCTTCTCGGGCTGCCCGCTGCTTCACCATGTCTGACGAGCAGCTGAACCGTTCATGTCTATGGCACAGCTTCTGAATCAAATCCAGTGGAGAGAGGAATGTGCGGTATGTCGTGAGGAACGCCTCTTGGTACAGAAAATCTGGAAAATCATGATCACTTCCTGTACATCCCAATTACAGAGCAACTAAATGAGGCAGATGTGATGCAATGGTAGCATGTATAGTTCAGATGGAGAAAATAAATGCATGAAGATTATTCTGTGGCCAAACGCTTTGAAAGTGATTACATGGAAGACTGATGGAAAGGATTTTAGGGAAATAGGTTGGGAGGAAACCAAACTGAAATGGCTCAGGATCATGTCAGCTTATGTTACTGGTGTTCTATAGCCCAACATATCAACTGTGCAGATGCTGAAGTCATACCTGTCTCGTTCTCCTCTTTAGTTTCATAAGCATGAAAGAGAAAAAAAATATATATTTCAATATTCAGTGTGTAATAAAGTGACTCCCATAGCATTACATCCATTCACAATTGCAACTCACTGTTCTTGAACATAGCTGTCTTATTGTGCCATGTAGTCAGGTAAATAATGACCAATATTTCAAAGGAGCTTACTGCCTCCATCATCATTCATATGATGGAGGCAGTAAAATCCTCTGAAATGTTGGTCAATATCTACTAGACAACATGGTGCAACATCCCAGAAGAAAACACCTTCATGCTTGTCAGTATGAGAATCTGAAATCTCACCATTCTTGTTTGCTTTGGTGGCATGTATGATGAGCGCATCAGGATGACCACCACGGATGTCAGGACCCTCTTCGTCAGGCTTTTTGATGACTAGATATTTTGTGATGTCCAAATGTTCTAGTGGGTTGCTCTCATCCGTCAGCTCCATTTCGCTTCGTTTTGCTTGAGTGCTGTTGTTCCCCAGGACAGAAGGGGCAATCAATTCTAACCTCTGAACTGCTGGCTTCTTTACCTCCTCCCGACTACAATAATAATAAAAGCTTCAGTTTTCATTACATATTGATAAAGCTCAAATCAAAAATATTTCTGGGTTCAGATCCATGTCTGGTGGAGGTGGGAGCAGGAAACAGGAATGCTTTATCAGAGAGGGTTATCATCATTGTCTGTGAACTTCTGCTGTTGTGCTTTGAGTATTCATCTCACCAACTATTTAGTAGTACAATGTGAGGATAATGTTAAAATAGGGTGTGGAATAGATTAATCTGGCTTGAGATATGGTCCTGTAACAGGTTCTTGTGAACACAGTAATAAAGCTTCCATGTTCTGTGTGCAATTTAGTTTTTGACCAGTTAAGTGACTGTCAAGTTCTCAAGGACAAGTTATGTGGATACCAAATGATGCTACTCTTGTTTATCATGCCCAGAGGTCAGCATTCAAAGGGTCCCAGATGTGATAATTTGTGGCCTGTGACTTGGAAATGCTACTACTGATTTTACAGATGCATTCAGTAGTACCTTGTCTGATCTGTGTCCCCATCTATTAGAAAGTGGTTCAACTTGGGGTTCAAATCCTGCTGTGGCCTTGGTGGAGGTGACGTAGGTGGAGGACTTGCCGACGACTTTACACTGGATGTCCGACTGCGTTTTGGTGGCAGAGCAGGAGGCAGTCCAGATATCTCCTTCAGAGAGGAACTTGACAAATCAACACTGAAATAAATGTGTACAATGAAGTGTGGTTCCTGTACACACAGTTAGAAATACTGCCAAGCCTAGTGCTACAGGCCATGCAAGAGAGACCTATGTGTACAAGTTAAAGCAGAAGTAGTTGTCATCAGCTTCAAGTGAATCAGATCATAGCTCACTGACCTGCTTGGCAGTACCGCAGAACTCTGAGATGAGACCATGGAGAAGGAACATGACTGTGTGGATGTCAGTGACATCTCCTGCTGCTGCCACTCAGCCTGCAGCAGATTGTAGGTATGCACCGAATGGCGCAAGAACTCGTTTGTGTTTGGATGTGCACAGTTACCAAATATCTCCATGTATGCCATGACTGCAACAACAAGGCATTCAGTGTGAACTTGACTCCAGTTCACATTTCTGCAAGAAGTAATATTACCACCTCAATCTTTGAGTGGATGCTTTTCAGGATATTTCTCAACCAAAATTCTGTATAGTTTCTTGTTTCCCCCCATATGAGCTACGCTTCAATCCCATAATAACTATTTTGATTTCACTCCCTTACAACACAAAATGAGGCGTATAAATCACAAATATCGTTATTCAGTAAGGTCCTCCAATAATGTACTTTCTTCATCTGTCTTACATCCATGTATTTTTCTTTACAAATTGTTTTCAAAAACAGATTTCCCTCACAACAAGAGAACATGGTTCACAATCATACAAAGCAAATGGTGGAACTGTTTTAGATATTTTAATCCGGATACAGCACAGAAAAAGAATCACCCAACTATGTCACATGCTGCATCACATCAAACAGAATGGAATTTGAAGCACACTGGAATAAAGGAAGTGAACCGTGCTTGTCCTATGTTCCTTACATTGGGAAAAGGACAGTGCAAATCAGCAGCTAGACTGGAGCAGTCTTAACACAACCACCAGTACAGAGATTAGCACTCCTGGTTTATATTTGGGAGGTCCCAGGTTTAAATCTCAGACCAGACACCAGCTGTTATGACTGCTGTTCTTCAGTGGTCTTCCACAGTCCCTCCAGGAAAATGCTGTGACAGTGCCTTAAAATAGGCCACAACAGCTTCCTTCCACATTCTATCATAATGCATCATTCATAATAATCCTCTCATACCCCAGTCAATGCTGTATAACCTATGCAGCTGATGAAAAGCAAATTCAAAAAACAGTGCTCTTTTCCTTCGCAGTGAAGATACTGGGCAATGTGGATGGGACCAAATTAACACAAAATGCACTATTCACATTAACACTGGGAACAAAAAAACATAACATAAAAGGGTTTGTCCTAGTGAAAGAAGGGAGCGCAGTCACTTACCAGAGTAAGCCACTGATTGGAACACTGAGAAACAAAGACAAGTCAGTTAGTTGATAGTGAGCTGTCATAATGGGCATCACCCCATGCAATGATGCATATTCACACAACAGCTTTCATAATGTTACAGCCAGATGAGAAACGTTACAACTATGTGAGCATGGCGATGGCATCAGTTGCATGGGCTCTGCCTCTCTACACTTCACACTTTACACACACAAATAAATTCAACTGGCACTCACTGTGTTTCTTCTTTGGTGGTAGCGGTGGTGGTTTTCCATCTGGGCTTCGGCAACTGTTGTGTTGAATGGTCTGTGACTGGTGCATGCTGCAACTCAGGACGTGCTGTTCTTGATGGCTACTAGAATGAAGCTCATCTGATGGAACATTGTCATATGTGGACAAATGCCTGTCTTTTTTCTGCTTTGACTGTGTCTTTTGTGGCAAGGCAGGTGGGACGTTCGGCACACTGTCGCCATCTGGAGAAATGCCCCTGACCACATCTCTGTCAGCACTGTGTTCTGTGTGGTGGGGGGAGGGGGTTTCAGATGAGATGGTCTTCTGCATATGCATCATAGTGACACTGGACTCTGCAGTGGTGTGCTGCACCTGCCGAAACTTGCTGCTAGTTGATTCGGTGCTCTTGTATGATACCGCACTCTGCTGTGAGGAACGGGAACTAATCTGCTGTGATGAACGGGAACTAATCTGCTGTGATGACGTGTAGCTGTGACTTGAACTGCGTAGAGAATGCATTGATGCAAATCCTGATTCAGCATGTGAAAAAGAAAGCTTGCCGAGTGATGTGTCAAACCCTGAAATTACATAAACAATATTTCACTATCAGACTTCCACTTTTTGAGAAAAAATGTTAGTAATATTTTCATTTTGTCACTGCGGCTATTATAAGACTTATATATAAAATTAATTATTATTCACTGTTTTTGTTCATCAGGAGCTGACTTGTTTTATTCATTTTCTGCATCAATATAAGAACTGATATGTGTATGTAAACAGACCGTTTGTTGCAATACCATCATCAGTACCTACTGTCACTCCTCACTTCCACTACTACTACTACTACTACTACTACTACTACTACATGCTTCATTCACACACATTTTAACCACAAACATGTCAGTGAATCATTTCAAAATACTAACACATTGCTTCCTCAACAATTTAACTACAGCTTGGCCTTCCAGCTATCAACATACAAATATCTATCTTCCTCCAGCAAAGGCATCTTCTTTGCACAATTCAATTTTATATTTTCAGATATTCCATTAAATTCTAGATTGTATGTAATGCTGTATCAGAAATATCACATTTCTTTAAATACTCTATTACTGTATAAGCAGGAGAATGTTTTATAGACTGCATAAGAAACTGAAAGAAACAGGATTGGAAATGAAAGGCATTCTTGATGGTTTGGCTACTTTCTTGTTTTATATCACGGCCAATGAACTTCTGACTACCAACACATTGCTTTTATCAATGATTGAATGACTGAAGGTACTGGAAAGGTAGCCCCTGATTACAGTACACACCCAGAATTTCAAGTAAAGATTTCAGAAAGAGATGCATAATAAATATGTACAATGAATGACATACTTCTTTATCAGTTTAACTTAAATTTATACAATTAGCACAGAAATTATAAGCACTGAATTCCTGTGGATTTATTACCTAGGACTGTGCCAGGGGCAATAGGGGGCAGATCTGTGCTGAACAGAGGTGACTTTCTGCTTGAGTCCAGCTGTTGCAAGTCCGGGTGCTGACCAAGGGGAATAGACACAGATGCTGGATTTTTGTCCACACCAGACATTTGTTCAGTGGATGTTGTGCTTGAGGAACTGTCCCAGCAGCAACATGAACTGCCATTCATATTCATGGCTGAACCTGCACAAGAAACAATACTTATCAGGATGTATCAGTCAAATTATGAGAATGGCTGAAATTATTTCATGTTACACTCACTTTGTGTCAGGATGTCAGCTTCCTCTGTTGGGTCCATCAGCACCTGTATCTCCTCTTCCTCACGGGAGTGGTTCAGCACCGAGTCTAAACTGCCAGCAGAAGCACTCAATAGTGATGAGGTGTCCTCTGGGGATTTGCTGCGCAGGCTGATGCGATCAAAGCTGGCTGTGAGCCCGGACACTCGACCTCCCCCACTAGTATTGCTGCTACTGTTGAGTGTGTCTGTCATGCTGGCAGCACTGTCCTCTTGTGCTGACGTGTCCAACTCGCCTGGAAGTTGCTGCAACTCTGATTGGTGATTATGTAGTGGGCGGTTACGCCGCTTGGGTGGCAGTGGGGGTGGCTCACCACAGGGTATATCACAACTGTCAGATATGTGGTGAGTTCTGGAAAGTTAAATGGAAGAAGCATATTGCTATAAATACTACTGTGACTTTTTAATGAAAACAGAGAATATAATAGCAAAATGATCTGTTTACAAGTCAGCATTCAACATGCAACATGGTATAGATTCCTTTTCTTACCTCAACTACAGTACATAAGTTCTACTTACGAATGGCTGATAAATAAACCACAGTCTGAGTAACAGCATTTTCATACCTTCCTGGAAGTGGAGGTTTGGGAGGTGGACTGACTTCATTCAGTATGGATTCAGAGCTCTGTGAATGTGGCAATGAACCATGCCCATGCCTGTCCAACAAAGATGAAGAGGTCTGCTCCAGGATTTGTCGTTCGCGTGGGGTTAGGGGAATGTCGGGGAGAGAACTGCGGTGAGGAAGATCTGCTGCATAAGCGGAGGTGCGATCCGTTATCATCGCATGGTGATTGTTGTTGATCAGTGCCTTGCAGCTGCTCTCACGGTTTGCAATCTGATCTTGAGCTAGTGAAACAAGATTCTGAAAGAGAATAGTTAGTTAAAGACATGTCTAACCAAAGCTCCAAGAATACTCAAACCACTGTAACCACTTTTACCTGCACAGCATCCTCCAACAGCTGGATTACCTCACTGACATTCTCCTTGTCCAGAGCCTTCTCCCCCTGCAGCAGCACATCATCACACAGCTTAATAAGCTTTGCAAGGCTCTGGTACACCTTGTTCGTTGCAGACACCAGTGTGGAACTGAAAGATTAAGTGCTGAGTTGAAGCACAGGTGATACTCTCACACCCACAATGTGCACAGCAAGCTTCAACATCACACTCACCTCTGTTCATTGAGGACATACGATTTGAGCACACCATGAATTGTTGTCACAGTCTCCAGAACTATTGTGCCATTGCCCGGTAACATTTCCAACTTTTTCTTCGTTACCACATCATGGAAATGCTTCAGGGCAAACTGCACCTGTCCCAGTAAGAGATGCATATTACTTTATGAATGCAGAACAAACTGTGAACCTTGTTGAAGTCAAGCAAGTCTTCACTTCACTCCCATGAAAGAGGTTCACAATTATTTACCCTTCAAAAAGCCTTTTGTTATTCTTTATAGCCACAGTATTCCTGATGTTTCAAACACATCGTCATTTCCACCATCTGATACGCATCTCTCCAAATTAAAGATAAGAGCCCCGTTTTAAAACAATAATTCTGAAATGACACACCAAAGAAATGTAATGGACCAGCCAAGTGCTTAACACTTCTGCTTCATATTTGGCAGGTCCTTGGCCTGGAGACCAGCTATCATGACTGAGATTCTCTGTGGTCTTCCACAGTCTCTCCAGCAAATGCCAGGACAGTGCCTCAAATTAGGCTACTACTGCTTCCTTCCACATCCATTATTCATTAATAATCTTATTATTGAACACTATATAGTTTTAGCTACAGACAATATACAGATACATACTAAGGCAAGAATAAGACTGACGGTTAGTTACCTGTTTCACGTGCAGATCCAGATCTCGTAGGGGGTTCTTCTCCGTGGATCCATCGACTGTATCAATACTTGCAACCTTGTGGCCAGTGCGGGTCTTGGGGGAGTGGGGTGATCCAGAGCGCTGTGCGCCTCCACCACCAGGAGAACGCATTTGTGACAAGATCTCCAGGAAGTCCTCCTTGAAAGAGCGGGCCCGCCGTGCCAGTTTTCCCCCACGTGGCTTTGTGTTCGGTGTGGTGCTACTTTCTGATTCTGCAACACCAGTACTTTTATCACATAAACTGCTGGTTTCCAGAACATCATGTTTGGAAAATCTTATTATGGTGGACAATGCCTAAAGTAATTATAATGTTTAGAATTTAGAGGTTTAACACAAACTACAATATAAGTCAGAATAGTAAGTCAGTTAACATCCCCACAGCATTCATCTCAGTATCATTCATCACTTCCATTTCATCTACCAAATGGTGGCTTTTCAAGGTGTTTTCCCAACATAAGTCATATGATCAGTTCTTGTTCCCCACCTGACATTTCAGTATTGTGTTATTTATTTTCATGCTCAGGAAAGTTAGTGGACTCAAAAACATTACTAATACAGTTGATACTGTAGAAATGTTGTAATAGAAATATGTTATGTGCTGCAACAGTGATTATAATTATCTTTATTCAAATGTCTCGCTGATCAAGTTAACTGTGTGACGTAGCTCGAAACACAGTTATAAATGGATTTTCCTGTTGGTCTCTCTAGGAGAGTTTCAAGACAGTATGTCAACAGTCTCTTGATAGTGGAAATCTGTAATGAGGAAATTATATACAGATGTTACTATCACAAGTAATCGAGTACCTTCAAGAATATGAAGGAGCAAATCAGTGCTTTATTTCTCATATCAAGTAATTAAACCGAGTTCCATAAAAGACCAGGAATTCTGGACTAGATGAGCGACTACCAGCTGTTCAGCCACGATGTTTATTCATGAAGTGAGTTTAAACTTGAGCGACTACCAGCTGTTCAGCCACGACGTTTATTCATGAAGTGAATTTAAACTATTAAAATCAAATGTGTTAAAATCTACCTCCATTACTCATTTTCCCTTATGGCCATTAATCAATCATCAGCCCAATTCGTGACAGGACGTCCGCGATGCATCTATTGTAAGTAGCGTTAGTGCGTTCGTGGTGGCCCCTCTCATGAACAAATTAAGG